CCATTTATATTGGCTTTTGGTCTAGTTGTTATTCCTACATTTTCCTTTAAACTTGTTTTCAAGCTCAGTTATTACTAGCATCCAATAAAATAAATATCTAACATTGTCAGTGACTCATCTAAGAATGCTCCTTTCATCATTTAGAATGGTCACTTACCACAAGACTTTGCACTTTTTTGATATCTACCAATGGTCAATTATAACAGATTTCCAATCGTATAATTAATTTGCTAATATCTGCAGAAAAACAACAATAGTCCAATATTATTATATTTCAATTTATTCGCTGGTCCAATGTTATCCCTGAATTGTCTGTTTATCGAGTAAATCGTGACTCTACAACTTTCTCTGATGGGATTTACTGAATAGGAAAAATTGCCTTAATTTGCCCGGCTCCACTGACGCCATCTGTACTCACTAAATGTTCATGTCAAGCGAAGCAGTACCTTCTGACGGCCGAGAGTAAACCCGAGCACTGGCACAAATAAGGCCGGCTCTCTCATTCTGTCCGGTTCTGGGCGGGAAATCGGGAACTGTAGAAGACATCGTATTGCCGAGCTTACGTGAAATTTTTGCACTAATCAGGCTCCGGGTAGCACGTTTTTATTGACCAACCGGCCGTAGGGGGCGACCACAAGGATTGCAGCATTTTATGCCTTGCCCTCTCATCGTGTCTGAGGGATCGGCATTTCGTCTGTCGCCCCAGAGATAAAATTTTTTTACGAAAAGATCGTGCCAACCTCCAAATTGGCCGACCATTGCCTCGAAGGTACACCATCGCGCAACTGCTGTTGCCAGAACAGCCACACCTTAATCGCTTATTCACCTTTCTGAGTACCTTGTTTAAATGCAATAACGGTCTCGTTGCCAGGCGTCTGGCCGCGTCTGGCATCTTCTCCCCCAGCACCAACACCATCACCACCTGCCGGCTCGTCTGACCGACTTCCGAGTGATTCCCTTACCTTAACCGCCAGCATAGCAACGAGTATAACAAAAGGTTGGGTGGCTCATCTTCCACACGGACTGTCACGGTTCGGTTTGGCTGGTGTCCGGAAGGTACGAAAAGGGGCACAGGCGACCTCTTGACCGCGATCGAGTCCCCCCGAGGGGGTCTCGGTCGCTCTTTCGACTTGGAGTAGCCTCGTTTTTGCAACTTCCTCCGGGCTTCCGGTGGAGTCATGTCATCCTCCAGCTTTGGAGTCCGGTCGGGGCAGATTCACAATCGTCTGTGAGTATAGCGCCAGACTTAAAGGCCAGCAAAAACTGGCAAGTACACACGATTTTCCGTTGAGCGGCTCTGGCATTTCTCCGCATGGCATATACGGAAAGAGTTGGTTTCGAAATTACCAGATGATCTTAATGAAGGAAGTAACTTCTCGAATGCATAAGTTGCCAAGAAATCAGTAGATCTTAAATGAAAACTTATGATTTCCCATAATTATGATTCAATTCGGACATGATATAATGAATAAGCGTGTTTCGAAATTTGATTAGCTATTGAATAAGAAGCTAATATATCGAATTTACTACTATAAACGTTTACATTCCCTAACTACCATTAGATGTAGAATAAGAATTTGATATACCGAGTTAACTTGCTTTTAAACTACCAGTAGTATTTTAATGAGAACTCGATATAACGAATGGCTGCTTCACAAAGATCGCAAAAGGTTGAATTATCGCTTAATTTGCTCTAGTGATGTGGTATGAGTCTATGGAAGGATTGTGTTTTGATAGTATTACTAGATATTGATGTACCAAATAAGCATTATTTAAATCCATTTGTCTATTATGAACAAGAAATACAGGCTTAATAAATATCATTAGATGCTGAAGGCGAACTTGATACACCGAAAGACTGTTTATATCGTAACATTAGATTTAGAGTGTGATGTTAATATAGAGAATGAGTATATTTGAAGAATTAATATATCTTGCTTAGGGATGAGTTTCCAAATTACGACTTGAGTATGAATGATAATTTGGTGTACTGAATGGGTAAATACTAAAAGTATGAATACAATTTGACATACCAAATAAGAATGTTTCAATTGCATGGGTAGATCCTGAATAAGAGCATGATATATCAATTTAAAATATTTCAAAAATAGCCTTATGATATCTGGGATAGCTTTCTATCTCGAGGATGTAAATCACCTATGTTTAGATACTATTTCTATACCTTAACTCAAAATATGGTATACCGAGTAGATTTTATTCGAGGCTATCAATTGATATTAATTTTTGGTAAATTTTATCCTTCATGACTATGAAAAGCTGTTGAGCAATAGCTTGAAATACCGAATTCATTTGAAAAAAACGTGATTTTGGTGCTATATCGACAAAGCCAGAAATCATTATTTACGAGCAATTAACCAAAAGTCACTTAAGCAAGAGAGGTGTTCGGCTGTTTTGATTTGGATGACTACTTTGTGCTTGCCCCACATGCATGTAGATGAGTAAAGTTATTGCCTGCAAGAGGAACGAATGTGGTTACAGCTTTTGTTTAGGCATATAAACTAATGCATTTTTTCTATACAAGTAGGTTTTCATGACCACCAGTAAATCTGTCATACGAGATGTATTCACCTTATTTTGCTTAAGCTGATAAGGCACTGGCAACTGAATTTTCCCGAAATTCTATGAATATACCTCACGTCTCCAGTGCATTTCACACAGCCCAGTTCCACAAAAGGTATTCTCACCGCGGCTGGAGTGGAATGCAGTTTTGACCTCGTCCAGGTCTCATCAGCAGCCGCGGTGGGACTCAAAAGCACTCGGCATTGTGGCGTAGTGATTACCGTTTCGAGATTCTAGGCTGCACTACTAAAACTCGGGTTGGAGTCCAGTTGGTGGTGTGGATGAAACTAATTCAGGCAAGGTCGAAATTGTAGTCCACTCCTGCTTGGATGAGAATAACTTTTGTGAAGCAAGGCTTTACGGAATTTGATGGAAATGTGCGACCTACGCAGAGAATTGTGGAAAAATCAAACTAGCAGACCTTCATCATCCTAAACTAAACAAGGTGAATACATCTCATATATGAAATCTACCGATAGTCTTGAGGGTTTACTTATAAACTAAATGTGAGATTAGGTGAAGTTCAATGTCATCGTGAGGCTTATTCATTTCATTGTATGAAACTTCAATTAGCGCTCC